ACGGTTTTCGAAAAATAAAAATTGCACTACCCCAAGCTGGAGTCGAACCCGCGTCGCACGTGTCCCATCACCCGAGCGATCACTTCGGCAATCATCGTGAGAAGAAATCTAGATCTCACTACTCCAAATAAAAATTCAAAAATTAATTTAAAAAAATTGACTTTCTCTCAAATAACTTTTTAACCATCAATTTCCGTTAATAAATGTATGATAATTTTTAGTTTGGAGGGACATGGAGAATACTTTGGGCACCAGCAGAGGAAAATATATATTAAAAAATCTAAAAACAAGCCCATAAATTCTTTAACCCATACAAATTGAAATTATTGAAAACTGATTTATAGATGAACGGGATGTGCTTATCGCCAACAACCGGAAGAAGTTCGGTGGGTGGTGGTGAAAGATGTGATGATGGTGATAGTAATGAAGGTGGTAGTAATGCTGCTGTTAATGTTGGCAACGGTGCAGGTCACTGTCGTGATGATGGTAGTGGTAGTGGTGTTGTTATTAATATCACACCAGTCCGTATTGCCTCTGGTAATCGTACATTAACACAGAGTGAGGATGACGGATGTATCAGTACACTCCGTAAAACAGCAATCGATAATGCACGTTATAAACAGCATGATATTCGTAAATTACGAAAATGTCTGAGTACATCAGTGAGCAACTACGAGACAGACGGTACGACTGCTGGATATACCACATATAATCAGCAATCAGGTGGTTACGATTATCGAAACAACACTGCAACCACAACCCAGGCTTCATTGACCTCCCAGTCAATCCTCACCAGCGTCAGACAGTATAGCAGCTTTGGTAGTATTTCCAACAGAATTAACAAATCTCAATGAAAAATTACTGCAATTTCATTATTTATTTTTCAACAATGAAATTATTAATCGCAATCGTCTTTCAATACTTCTATCTATCTCGCTCAACTTCTCTTTTTATTTTTGTCTCGTTACCCAGTGGAAGAAGATGGGATTATTCCAGAAGTTCTCGTGTATCTAGAATCTATCAAGCAAATTCGATGAGTCAATTTCCTGGAGGATATCCTGAATTCATTTTCAAGAATAATTCGATAAGGAGGAATTTAAAAATCCAGCCAGTGTTAGGGACATTTTTGATGGAATTCACGTTTTTTTGATTTTATACGGAGAGAAATATTACAGAAAAATTACGGAACATTTCACGAAATCCACCAGTGAGAATCGTTTTTGGGGAATAAATCTAGAACTTTCAGTAAATTTCCAGGTTCTGTCACCAAAAAAATACGAAAAAACCACGTAATATTTCTGGATGTTTCAAAATCGAATGGAACTTCAAGTCTTATTATGCCTCAGAACATAAAAATTCCTGGAT